GTAGTCATCTATATGGAAGAGTTATGCTATTTGTATAAATGTGAGTTACTAAGTTGTTTGATAATATAACATCTACACCAATCATTTTAAAAATATATTTTTTAATCATTTGAAATCAACGATCTGGATTTTGCCAACACACTTTGTAACCCAACTTTTGTAACTCAACTTTGTACAAATAGTTTTATTGAATGCTATAGACTATAGGTGAGAGAGCTTAAGCCCCTGTTTGGCCCACATTTTGGGGGGTTGAAAATTTTTAGAATAGTGATTGATGGGGGAATGTGTGGTTGAAAATTTTTAGATTTGTGTAATATTATTTTATTTGATGAATGTGTAGTAGAAATGAAGAGAAAAAAATTAATGTAATGGAATTTAATTTAATGGGGCTCAAATGGAGGCATAATTTATCGTTGAACTGGATTATACATGAGTTCTGATACTGATGATTTAACATAAATATTTGTAGAGGAGAAGATAACAAGCAACTTGGCAAGATTCGTGCTAATTATATGGTTCTTGGTAGTTCTTATACTAACTCAAAGTTACACTGCAAGTCTTACATCAATGTTGACTGTTCAACAACTCCAGCCAACTGTTAAGGATATAAATCAACTTCTTAAGAACAAAGATTATGTGGGATACCAACAGGGTTCGTTTGTTTTTGAACTTCTAAAGGGAATGGGTTTTGATGAGTCTAGACTTAAACAATACAATTCTCCAGAGGAATGTGATGAACTTTTCTCGCAAGGAAGTGGAAATGGAGGCATTTCTACGGCTTTCGATGGGATCCCATATATAAAGCTTTTCCTTGCAAAATACTGCTCAAAATACACCATGGTTGACCCAACATACAGTCTGACTGGTGGCTTTGGCTTTGTCCGTAACCCCCTCTCTGTCTGTCTATCTCCCTCGACCCCAGCAAAAACAAAAAAGGGTCACATTTCATTGTGCTGTGTTATTTATTTATATATTTTTGACTTTCAGGCTTTCCCAATAGGGTCACCTCTAGTACCTGATGTCTCAAGAGCAATATTACATGTGACAGAGGGCGAAAAGATGGCAGAAATCAAAAGAACATGGTTTGGTGAAAAAACTGAATGCCCAAATTCTAGCACATCACTTTCATCCAACAGCATTGGACTTGAGAGCTTTTGGGGACTTTTTTTAATAGCTGGAATAGCTGCAGTTTCAGCTCTTATAATCTATATCATTATGTTTCTACGTGAACACTGGAATATTTTACGATGTTCTGATTCCAATTCCTCAATACGGAGCAAACTTCTAGAGTTATTTCGACATTTTGACAATAAAGATCTTAGTTCTCATACTTTCAGAAACACTGGACTGAGAGAAAGAAACATCGGGTATGGTGACTACATGGAGAGAAGAGAGAAAGTCTCATCCCACGGTAATTGCTCACAAACTCCACAAAAATTTTCATTGAATACTTCTCCACATACCAATCCACCAAGTCCAACTTTCTCAAATGGCACAGAGCAATATTTAGATTCTCCACGAGATCAAATGAATACAACAGAGAATGTGATGATAAATTCTCAATCAGCAGCAGCTCATGTGATTAATCCAGAAATTGAGCTTGTGAGTCCGAATCAAGACTTGCAAATGGCAGCAAGATCCACAAATGAAATTCATTAACTTGGTATATATTTGTAAGTGAAACTCGTTACTCTTCTTTCTTAGCATAATTTTAAATATTATGAATAAGATATTTTCTTTCAGCTTCTTGATATACTAATTCGCCATTGTTAACTTTTCCGAAGCTGAGATCACTTTTCGCTACATTTTAGAACCTAGTTAAATTCGTTTTGCAGTTATCCTAGTATCTGCAGATATCCAACTCAACATAAAGAAATGTATTTAAGGGAAATGGAAATTTAAACTTGCAAAATCGAGTAATCAAAATATTTCCAAGGCAGTAGGCAGCGGAAGAATAGTGTTAGAGCAGTATATCTACGTTGTCAACATCATATCGAATCAATATCAAGAGAGGAAAAGCACGATAAAAGAAATCCTAGTTCCTTTGAAAGAAATTGCTAGTAATCAGATAACATGTGAAACATCCCGATTAAACCTGTGAAGTACAGAAGTAAATTTCAACCTAAACATATTTTTTGGTTTTTCTCCCTTTTGCAGTCAAAATTTCAGGCTTCCATTTAGGGGTGTACAAAAGTCCCGAATCGAGCGGTTTTTCATAAGTTAAATAACCGAACGGGTACCCTAATCGAAAAC